TCACCACCCTCTCACTCTCTGGTTGGCAAGGATAACTCCCTCTCATGCCTTGTCTCAACGGCCGAAGCTAGAATCTAAATCAACCTAGGGGGAAGAAGAAGGACTCCTCTCACTAATCAAGGGAAGCGTAGAACATAGGAATGTCCATATCTGAGGACACGGCTATACGTATAGATTGATCAACTCTGCAGAGCGTGTACTCCTAGAACCACAAGATCACCATCATCGGTGGTGCCCTGCCTAGGCTGATGCCGGACTGCTTTCCAACTGGTACGCTACCACTCTACCACTTAGCCCTGAGTCACCCCGGAGTCCACCGGCACGCAGAGACTATGAGACGTAGTACTGGGCCTCCAAGGTCACCACGCTGTCTTAGGAGGGTGTGGGCCAGATGCCCGTACCTCCCTACACTATCTACTAACAACCAAATAGTAGTGGCATCACCCTAGTTAGTCAACATCCATTCCCCGCCCACTAGGAACGAGTGGTGTGCACGAAGGGTCCTATAAAGCTGGTTCTCTTGGCATACCAGTCCTAAGGGGGACTTGACAAGATATCTTCTCAAATAGGGATAACCAACACCCTATGCTTCAACAGCACCTCCATCTTGAGGATTCATCCCATGAAGACACTCCTCCCCAAAATCTCCTCCACTCACATGTACCCGCCACAGGTACCTCACATAGGAAGTGCTCAGGTCACACTCCCCTAGCAAGACACGCCCTCTAGACTCATCGTAGAATCCTATCCAGTCGACACAACTCTCACCACACACCCACTACACATGCCAAGATCTTTCCAAGTTGTTAACATTATAGCAGCACATAGTGCCTAGCCACTCACAAACAATCATCCACTCAGCATCACATCACAGATATAATGCAAAGTAGAAGTAGCGAGCAAGTAAGCGAGTGTCTATCCTAACGGCTGGTGTGTAGGGGTAAGGTTGCAACAAGGTAAAGGCTTCAAAATACAATTTCTACCATGCAACCTATCATAGTTCATTTGCAGAAAGTAAAGCACTAGCCTCTAGATATTGCATGTCTAATAGGATTCTATGAGGTTGGGTGGGACATGGCACGTGTAGACTGGTCGTCACTGAGCTCCTTGGTGTACTCGTAGTCGTCCTCTTCGGTCAGCTGATCCTCTGGGGCTGCCAAACAGGACACACAGCCACGATAAGTGACTCCTATACATATACACAAAGAAGCAATAGAAATCTAGAAGATCAAAATGCACTCAAACATTGGCCTATGATGTAGAGCTCATTTTTAGGAGAATTTAGGGACTGGTTTCATATTTTTCTAAGGTTGGATGGATTTATTATGAATTTTCTAAGTTTATTCTATTTTCTGAAAAAGAAAAAAGGACAGAAATATCTAAGGAGTGACACGTGGCGGCATGCGATTGGTCGAGGGCTCGGCTGAGGCTGACAGGTGGGGCCGGTCAACGGCCAATGGCCAACGTTGACCGGGCCTCGACCGGGCCTGGCAGGCCTGGTTGTGGGCCGGATATGGGCTGGGTTGGGTCGGTCTGGGCTGGGCCGGCCTAGACCGTGTCGGCTTTGGGGGCAGCCACGTGGTGGGTCTAGATCCCAAATGGGGTCCACGGGACGGGTGCACGGTGGACCGAGGTGGCCGACGCACCGTGGACCCTCTCTGGTCTATGGTGGACTGCGTCCATCTCCTCCTCTCCACTCTCTGGCTCTTGGTGCACTGGACATAGGAAGCGACGACCAAGGGGGGGGTGCGTGCACCCGCTTGGGCTCGCCGGCGACAAGGTCGCCCGGCGGGGCTCTACGGCGACTCGACGGAGCTGCTACGGCCATCTAGGGCCCTCTCGGAACTAGGTGGGGGCGGTAGGGGCACAAAGGCAAAGCCTTTTGGCTTACCAAGGCCGGCTACGGCGACGGCGGATGCGGCGACGCTATGGCACGCGCAACTAGAGTCAGAAGGGGCTCCTTTCCAGGTGATTGAGGTTGTGGGCAGGTCACAAGGGGCGGCGTTGGTGACCAATTTACAAGGCGGAGTCCGCTCGATGGCCACGAATGTGATGGAGCTTTGGTGGACTCTTGGCTCCGGCGAACTAGGGCTAGGACAGGCTAACGAGCAAACCAACTAGGCGGCTAGGTGCGCGCTGCTACGATGGATGCTACCGCCCCTTTCTCGACCATCGAGGCAGCCAGAGTCATTGCGAACGTGCTTGGCATGGTGGTGCCATGGGCGCGTGCACTCGCCAATGGTGTGAGCATGTCCAGCGGTTCCTAGGGGCTCTAACTAGTGTAGTCTAGGGCTATGAGAAGTCCTCAGCGAGGCGGAGCTCGTCGTGGGGTCGCGGGTACCTCTACTGGCTTGGCTAGGGCAAAACGGACCTCGCCATGGCCGTGCTCTGGCCATGGTGGGCGCGCTTGGGTGCGGTGTAGAGCACCAGCATTCCTAGGCCATGGCGGCTTAGCAAGGCCATGCGGTGGCTAGCGTGGGTGCACGTGTGTGCATGGTGCAAGGGTGACGGCCAAGGCATGACCTTGGGCCTCCCAGGTGGTGAGACCATGTCAGTGTCCATGGTAGTGCACATGGTGACAAGGAGGCTGGCAAGGCTCACCGTGGTGTCGATGGCGATAGGCTAGCAGAGGAGTGGCGAGTCGGTGCAGCGAGGAGGCGGAGCAGTGCCGTGCTGAACCGCTATGGCGATGAAGGCGATCGGGGCATCGTCCTCGTCTCCAGCGGCCATGGGTGGACCTCTAGCGAGCATGGCTCTCTTCCTCCCTCCTTCTCCTCCCTGGTCTTGGTGTGGGTGTTGTGGAGCGCCACGCGTGGCGGCAGGGCGTGGGAATGGAGCTAGGGCACCGGGGCTGGCTTTTATAGCCACACGGCGGCCATGGCAGACAGCGGACGACCGGGAAGCAAGAAGGGGCACGTGTAGGGTGGATAGGGCCTCTAGCCTAGGGTTTTGGGGGTGTGGGGTGAGTGTGGGAGCTTTGCTGCCACCAATTTGGAGCGGCAGCCGGTCAAGGAGCAAGGAGGGGGCGGTGACATCAGTGGCGTGGCAATCACGGCGGCAGACGTCATGGCGAGGCTGGCGTAGGCGGGGAGTGGGCGCGGATCGTTGACGTGGCGTCCATCCACGCGGGCGCGTCTAATGGCTAGAACGCTGACGGTAGGGATGGCGCAGGACGCCTCGGGTGCTCGCCGGTGGGGCGCTCTGCCTCGGCGGCAAAAGCAGAGGGTGAGTGGAAAAGAAGGGGATGATAGGTGGGGCCCTTGGGTCCACCTGTCGGTCTCAGCGTGAGAGGGAGCAGGGTGCGGCGGTGGCACACTTAGCGCGGGCGCCTTCGGCCTTGCGCACGCGTCGGTGCGGGCCGGCTGGTTGGGCTAGCAAGGCGAGGGGGTGCGGCGGCAGGATAGGCTGGGCCGGTGCAGGTGCTGGGCTGCTTTCCCTTTTCCAATTCTATTTCCCTTTCTACTTCCTTCCCTATTTCTATTTCCATTTCTTGGAACCTATACACGTGTATATGTATTCCGTATATGTACACTACCCTAGTGGGGTCCACCTAGGTCTCCTAGGAGGGGTTTTGGGTCTAGCCTGGGCCTGGGCCCACACACAAACTTTCATATTTTGAGTTGGTTCATATTTTAATTATCATCACATGAAATAATAAGAAGCAACTCACAAGTTTGTTATATGCAAATGCTCATCCATCTCAACATAGGTTCTATGGTGCAACTAGGGTGGTTTCCTAGCATGATCACTCACCAAACATTGGTATCCTAGAAAAGTTTTTGAAAGTTAGGATTTTTGGGTTACTGGATTCCTAGGGTTGTTACATAAATCTTGATGTATGTGAATCTTTAAATATCCAGTCCAGTAACCATAGGAAATGGAAGGTATTACAAAAAATAATGTAATAAACTAGAATACAAGAAAATTAGATCATTTGTCGGATGCAATGCAAGCTGGCGGTATTACTCGAAACGACACTGCCGGTTCTAGTTCTAAACCGACAGTTATGGCTATCACTGTCGGTTTAGGAGTAGAACCAACATTGATATTTGATATCACCATCGTGTTAGGGCAACCAGCAGTGATAGAAAAACCCCACCACATCCACTTGCTCGCTACCGGTTCATTTTCCGATAGTGATAAGGGCTTTGGATCTGGCAGTGAATATCTGTTCCGAGGTAGTGACACCTCCACACAAAGGCCTTGCGAGAGGATAAGAAATAAAGAAAGCAAAGAAGGAAATTGAAGAAAAAAATAAAGGAATAAAAGGAGGAAAAAGGTATTATGGATATTTCAACCTTTTTTTATCTATCTTGAGGAGTTATTTTACCAAATATTTTACCAAAACAGCTTCAGCTATAACGATATATTTGCTCGTAGAGCCCAAATAAACAAAAATGCGGCTCAACCATTTGAGCAGTGGTTCTAGCTGCTCAAAAGTGGAGCTGTACTAAACCAGACCTTAGTCTTAGGCCTTATTTGGATTCACTATCTGATAATATTTATCTAGATAATAGCTATTATCTAATTATTTATCTAGATAATAGCTATTATCTGATTTGGTCCAACTAGTGAGATAGTTGTTATCTAGAGGTCCAACTAATAACTATCTAGTCCACTGTCCAAACATGTTTGGATAAAAAAGATAGTTATTAGCATATACCTACAATCTGCCGGGAACCAAAGAGAGCCTTACTCAATAATTTGTTGTCGACTTGTCGTGACGTAATGATTTGACAGGTCTACCTGGCAGCTAGCTGGTATGAGCATATGGCAAGCTAATAGTGTGGGCAGTGGTTCTAGATGCTGTTTGTCCTCATCGACATATACTAGTATCATCTATCATTGATCATACATAAATCCGATTTGGAAAATAGATAGTAAGATTACACCTCCCATTGGCGCCTATATATATGTAAACAAAAGCTAGCAGGCTGCCGAACGCGCACTTGCAGCCAGCTCAGTACAGTACTACAATTCCTGACGACAGCGCAGCAAAAATGACGAGCGGTGTCCAGCTGGTGACCAAGTCCCTGCCAGTGGTCGTCGTCCCGTCTTCGTCAGGGCCGGCACCACCGACGGCCGGCGAAACCGTTAGGCTCTCCCCTTTCGACAGGTGCGTCGCTCCTTTTCCGGTGACGATGCTGCTCGCGTTCGACCGCCCGATCCAAGAACCGGCGGAGACGATAAAGTCTGCCCTGTCGCGTGCGCTGGCTCACTACCGCCCAATCGCCGGCCGGCTGCGCCTGACGCCAAGACCCGGCGACGACGACGGGGAAGAACCCTGCATCGCGTGCACCGACGAGGGCATCACCTTCGTTGGCGCGTCAGCTAGCTGCGGGCTGGAGGACGTCACGACGGCCCTGCTCACGGACCTCGTGATCCGCTATCCCGCCGAGCTCTGCCGCGACACCGAGCCCCTGCTGCTGCTACAGGTGACGGATTTCACCTGCGGGGGTTTCACCGTCGGCGTGACGTTCAACCACGTCGTCGCCGACGGCTCCGGGTTAGCGCAGTTCCTGAGGTTCGTCGGCGAGCTCGCGCGCGGGGCGCCGCAGCCTTCCCTCGGCCCGGTCCGGCGCTGGGACGACGGCCTGCCGAGCCTCCCCGTGTCCACGGTCGCCGCGCAGAAGTCGACGATGGCGCACGGCCGCAAGGACCTGGCCCGCGTCGACGTCGTCGTCCCGTTCAGCCTGATCAGCGGCATCAAGGCCGAGTCCGGTGGCACGGTCTTCGACGTCGTCACGGCGGTGCTGTGGCGCTGCCGCACCCGGGCGATCATGTCCGCCGCCGCCGGCGACGACCCGGAGTCCCCCGCGCCTCTGGCGTTCCCGAGCGACGTCCGCGCGCGCGTCGGCGCCCAGGCCGGCTACTACGGCAACTGCGTCGTCGTGCAGCTGGTGCCGGCGACGACGAGAGCCGCCGTGGCGAGCGCCGGCATCGGCGACCTGGTGGCTCTCATCAGACGCGCCAAGGAGAAGATACCGGACCTGCTGCTGCCGGCGGGCACCAGCCCCGACCCCAGCCCCAGCGAGGAACAAGGGACACCAGCGTTCGACGACGCTGCTGCGGCCGGGGCCGGGGGAACAGCTGTGTCGGCAGCAGAGGGCGGCGATCAGGAGGAAATGAAGCTCGCGTACAACGCGCTCGTCGTCGCCAACTGGCGGACGCTAGGAGTCGACGAGGTGGACTTTGGCGGCGGCGTGCCCGCGAGCGTGACGTGGCACGAGGAGCGGGCGGTGGTGCCAGGTTGCGTGGCGTGCCCGCCGTGCAGGAATAGGGAGGACGATGGGGTCAGAGTGGCGGCGATATGCGTCAAGACGGAGCACGCCGGCGCCTTCCTTGAGGAGCTCGTCTCCATGGGAACCAGGGTGCTTCCCTCCAATCTGTGGGCATAAGCATAACACGTGACATCACATCCAAGGTGATGGGGAGAATAAGTTGCGACATTTTATTAGCACGGTGATAGTGCTAATCTGCATGTGTGGTGGGTCCAGCGTCACAGCGGTTGGATTTTTTTTTTCATGTGCCACGCGTCATACAATGTGTCAAGGGTATCACAATAGTACACAAATGTTTTTTTACGTTCGGTCAAAAATGATCTTCAGAGTCGGTTAGCAAAACCAATACTATGTCAGCGATCATAAAAATAAGTTATTCTAAGAGACGATTTTAAAACCGTCTCTAATAATTAATTTTTACGGACGATTTTATTAAGACGACCGTTCTTAAAAATCGATTTTCACAATCGGTTGACTTAAGTCAACCGCCCTTATAAGTAATTTTTGATTTTTTTTAAATCATTTAAAACTCGTAAAAATAAGAAAATTTTTTAATGTGGTCAGAGGCCCAAAGGATCGACCACCATTTGCTCTGGATTTAATTTGCTCTCGATTTAATTTCCACTATTCTAACAGAGTGCAGTCACTAGGATTCAAACCAGTGACCTCTCGCCTCGCGCGTTCAGCCCTCTATTACCGTACCATACAGTCACTTGTGATTTCTTATATGGTTATCTATTTGTACCAATATATACGAATCTTGTAATCAATATTTTGACTTGTAATCAATCTTAAATGGGAAAATTTTCAACTATAAAGTTCTAGATCTCGTCGAGTACTACAACTTTGATATAGAATATGTCTCCATCCAAGGTCATTTGAATTTTTTAAAATTTGAAATTCATGATCTGAGAGCTTAATTTATTTATTTCGAATCCTAAATGATCTCAAACAAAAAATTTATCAACTACAAAGTTTTGGATCTCATCGAGAACTACAATTTTGATATAACTATTGTCTTCATCCGACTTTATTTAAAAATATATAATTTTATTTGTGCTGCAGCTATTTTCAAGGACGGTTGACTTAGTCAATCGCCCTTGAAAATCGATTTTTAGGGACGGTGGGCTTAACAAAAATTCCCCTAAAAATCATCCATTTTCAGAGACGGTTGACATAAGCAACCTTCCTTGAAAATCTTATTTTCAGGGGCGCTTCTTTTAAGCTGACCGTCCTTAAAAATAGGTATATTTTCAGTGACGGTTTATTACTTAACAAAACCGCCCCTAAAAATTGGTTTAGGGGTCTAGGATGAGCTCATTGATAGTTAGGGCGGTCACCCCAACATGCCCCTAGGGTGGCTCTCCCTCAGCCCATGGACGCACCTACCTTGTAGCCCAAGCCTATAATTGCGGCTTGACCAACATGCTAGCGCTTGCCATTGTGCCTGCCTAGAATGCACACCCGCATGTCATCCCTCGATCTGTCTGCACGTGGTAAACCAGAGGCATCCACGGGCAAATATATGTTGACGACCGATACGCCCTATTGGTATTGGTACCCTTGGTGCCTTTTCTTCTTCTCTTCTTCCATGCTCACCGACGCCCCACGGCCCCTGACTACTGCCGCTACCAAGAGGTTCACTATAATTCACTACTACAGAAAACTTAATGGAGGCGGGCAAAGACGATTAATGAAGGCAGGCAACCCAACCGCCTCCAATCAAAGGCCTTGGTAAATCACGAACTACTGGAGGCGGTTGACATGCCCGTCTCCATTAATCAATAAAAAATAAAAAATCTAGCGAGCCCATCGATGAGGCCCGTTGAGCCCATCGACGAGCCCGTCGAGCCCATCCGCTCCTGCCCGCTGCCGCCCACTGGATTCATGCCTGCGCCGCCGTTGCTCCCATGTTGGATCCGCCGCTCCCATGCTAGATCTGCCGCTCCCGTGCTAGATCCCGCCGTGTCCGCCATTGTCGAAGCCACCGAGCCAGATCCGCACCGCCACCGAGCGAGGGAGGGAGTCTGGGCCCGCGCCGCCGTGCTGAGCGAGGGCGAGGCCACCTTCCCTGCCCTAGATCCGTGGCCACCTTCTCTGCCCTGGATCCACGCCGCCGTGATGAACGAACGAGGGAGGGAGCTAGGTCTGGCCACCTCGCTCGCACCAGCGCCGACCGTTGCCTCCGCGGGTGGGGTCGCCCTGCCATGGATCCGCACCGCCGACGCTGGTGGGGGCCGGCCCGCCTTGGATCCGCGTCGCCGGCCACCGCCTCCGCCCGCTGCCACCGTGGATCTGTGCACTGGCGAGGGAGAGAGGCCGCGCCACGCCACGCCATGGATCCGGGTGCCGTGAGGGTGAGAGGCAGCTCCACCGCGCCGCGCCACGCCCGCGAGGCCGGGCCACCGCTCCGCCACGCCTGTGAAGCTGCCCTGCTATGCCTGCGCCGCTGCGCCCTCCACCGAGAGAAGTGAGGGAGAGGAGAGAGTGAGAGAGGTGACGGGGAGACGGGGAGAGAAGTGAGGGCGCGACTGGGAGTCACGGCTGTGCGAGTCGCGGCCGCCTGGGAGACTACGACGCGAGGGGGACAGAAGTGAGGGACGAAACCCTAGTGCTGGTTTTATACGTGACTACGGTAATGGGCCTTCTGGGCTTATTTGGGCCCGAGCCAATTTTCTGAGGCGGTTAGGAAAATAACCACCCCCTTAAATCGATTTATGGAGGCGGGCATCTTAAAACGACCGCCTCCAAAAATGGACTATTTTTGGAGGCAGTTGTCTTAAGATGCCCCCTCCGTAAATTAATTTATGGAGACGGTTATTTTTTTACCGCCTCTATAAATCGATTTTACGAGGCGGGCAAACATGATTGCCTCTGTAAATAAAAAAACCCGCCTTCATTAATCGTCAGGTATTTTTGGAGGCGGTTGAATTTTATGACCGCCTCGGTTAATATTTGGGCACTGTCTTGCAAAATCATTTGTGTAGCAGTGATTGGTTTAGCGGCAACTAATTTCATATCTTAGAATATTGGGAGATAGCAGGCAATAGAGATTCTGTTTTGGGGTTCCGACTATGAGTTACGTACGTGACCATATTTTGAACATACGAACCCTTAGCGCCAGCTGCCTGTGAACTCCGTATACCAATCGCACCGAATTCCTGCTCGTTGTATCAAGTCATGGACATGATTCCTTCGTCCGTTCGACGTGTTTGGAACCGCGTTTGGAACCGCAGCACGTAGCAACGCCTCTTTCATCGACCCAGGCAGCACAAGCGCCAGTTTGGTCATCACTTCTCATGGTATCACAACGTGTGTTTGGAACCCTGCTGAAACACACTCCCTTGGGGAAGCTTTTCTCAGTATTCTGGCTTATAAGCACACCGCTGACACTGTTCCAAACACTCTCCTAGTGGTGTCGTCATAGCCAGAATGCTGGATACCACTATTTCTTAATGCCTACCACACCTATGTGCCATGGAGTATAATTCTAGGATGGCCGGCCACGCCCTGTTCATCACCCCTGCGTAGGAGGTTCTACTAGTAGTAGAGAACAGGCTTTCGGATTTTAGCTTTAGTCCCACTCGGAATTAGGCTCGGGACTAATAGGACAACTAGTCCTGGTTGGAGCCAATAACCGGGACTAAATTCCCCCAACGGCTAGCCCCGTAGGCTTTTACAGGAGGGGACTCTAGTTGAACTAAAGGTCCCGCTGCCTTTTATATCCTGGTGGATCGGTCCAACCGGGACTTATGATGACCTTTTAGTCCCGATCGGCCCCACCAACCGGGACTAGATGTCCCCACCATATATCCACTTCAGTGTCCCCCCTGCCCGAGCCATTCACTTCAATTATTGCTCTCGACTGTTCTCATGTGTATTCTTGCTTGGGTGAGCAACAAGTTCTTGCTTGCGGCCGGCTAGCACCAAGTTCTTCCTCCATTTCATTTTACTTTCTAAAGGTTAGCAACTTTATCTTCTAATATTTTGTTGTTAATAATGTAGCTCATTTTATTGTTCAGAAATAAATAGAGAAATTTGTGGTTTTTTAGATTAGGAATAATAATGGTGGATTTTTTATATGTTATTTCTACATAACGTCATTTCTACGTAACCTTAAACATTTGTAATGATTTCTAGACCTTTATTACCAACATTAGCTCTTGATGAGAGATAATAATCGTTAAAATAAATTATGTGCCAATAAGTATAGGGTGCAAAATGGTTGCAAAATATGTTTATGTTTACTTGGCACATAGACACATTCTATATGTGTTTCTCAAATATATTGCATGATATTTATATGTGGTTCTATATTTATTTGGAAGTTTTTTTTTTAGTTTTTTAGGTATGATGAACGATTTAATGACTTCCCACCATGGGAACCAGGTTTCCACCCTAGCGCTCATTATTCATTAGGCTACGGCCGAATAGGGCCGTTCCGCGTTTCTCAGATCTGTCTATAGTATGGAATATTTTAAGTTTTGCATACTAATATGATTCTTGCACATATACATTCATTCGTAATATGATTGTTGCATATGTCATAGACTATATCCCTGGTCAAGTGGCTGGATTCAGTACTATAATTGCTTGGGGTGTGGGAAATCTTCGAACAAACAACAAGTGAGGTCGTGAACGATGAAGGTGATGAGTTATGGACGTGTAATATCGCCTTTGACATCCCTATTAGGTACAATAAAGATCTGCGCCATGACATCATGTAGAGAGGACGACACATGCCGAACCAGAGGGGTGCCCAGTTCTATACCGAGCTGCATTGTTTACAGGCAGTCGAGCGAATTGGCTATCATATGCCTGATTTCTCGTACTCCAAGGTACTAGCTTTACATGAGCATAATCTGGACGTGCCGCAAGTAAGCGAAAGGATGACGAGATACAACCAAATGAATGTGGTAAGTCGTGTATGATATCAGTCATGTTTATTTATTTATTATTATTATTATATGACCACTCTCTGATATTTTTTGTTTCTTCACTTGCAGAATGTGCTACATGATTTTACCTATGCTGCATGTGGCTTGCAGGCCATTCTAGAGCAAGCTATTGATCGACTGGGGTATGCCTAAGACTACGATGGACACCTAGACCAGTAC